GTTCCACAAATAAGAACCAATTATAATATACCATATTAAAAGAATGAAAGAAAATATAATAATCTTCAATTGATGCAGAAAAAGAATTTTACAAAATCCATCACTTTTTCATGATAAAAACATTAAACAAGCTAGGAATAAAGAGAACTTCCTCAATCTGATTAAGAGCATTTGTGGAAACAAACAAACCCTACAACTGACATCAATAGTGAAAGACTGAAAGAGTCACCCCTAAGATCAGGAACAACAACAATGCCTACTTTCACTGCTTCTATTCAAAATTGTATAAGAAACATTGTCCTATAAGTTAAAACTTGAGCAATATGTCAAGAAAAAGGAAATAAGAGACATCCAAATTGAAAAGAAACAAGTAAAACTATCCCTCTTTGCAGATGACATGATCATATATGGAAAATAAAGAATACACACACACACACACACACACACACACAAAAGAAAACTATTAGAGCTAATAAATTCAGCTGTATTTCTAAACACTAGCAACAATCCAGATAAGGAATTGAGAAAATTCAATTTTAAGTAGCACCAAAAAAAATAAAATATTTAGAAATAAATTTAGCCAAATAGGTGCAATTAAAGAAGACGTAAATGAATGGAAAGACACCCTGTGTTCATAAATTAGAAGACTTAATAGTGTCAAGATGGCAGTAGTACCTAAGGTAATCTACATATCCAGTGTATGGATAAATCTACATATCCAGTGGGATGAAAATCCCAATGTGCGTCTTTCTTTTTTTGGTAGAAATGAAAAAGCTGATCCTGAAACATACATGGAATTGCAAGGGACCCCAGATACAAACTTGAAACAGATCAAGATACTTTTGAAAAGAAGAACAGAAATAGAATATTTATTTACTTCTCAATTTCAAAACATACTGCAAAGCTAAAGTAATAAAAACAGTGTGGAGCAGATATTAAAAATACATATATATCTCAGTAGAATATAATTGAGAATACAGAAATAAACCAATACATCTATACTCAGTTGATTTTTTAAATTTACTTAAAAAATTTTTTTATTGCACTGGGTCATCATTGTTGTGCACAGGCCTTCTCTAGTTGTGGTTAGCAGAGGCTTCTCTTCATTGAAGTGTGCAGGCTCCTCAAAGTGGTGGAGAATGTTGCAGAGCACAGGTTCTAGGGACACAGGCTTCAGTAGTTGCAGTCAATTGATTTTTGACAAGAATCCCAGACCATTCAATTGACAAATAACAGTCTCATTAACAAATGGTGTCAGACAATTGGATATCCACTTGGAAGGGAAGATAGAACCGTACATTACACCACATGCAAAAAAAAAAAAAAAAACACATCAAAATGCATCAAAGACTTAAGTAAGAGATATAAAACTCTAAAAGTCATAGAAGAAAGTATAAAGGTAAGTCTTCAATAAGGACCTACTGTATAGTAAAGGGAACTCTGCTCAATATTATGCAGTAATCTAAATGGGAGAAGACTTTGAAAAAGAATAGAGTTATGTATATGTATAACTAAATCACTTTGGTGTACACCTGAAACTAATACAACACTGTAATCAACTATACTTCAATATGAAATAAAAAGTAAAAAAGAAAACATAGAGGTAAATCTTTGTCACCTTGGATTTGGTAATGGAATCTTAGATATGACACCAAAAGCATAAACAGCAAACATAAAGCAAAATTAATTAGACCTCATCAAAACTAAAATGTTTTGTGCATGGGAACACTATTAAGAAAGTCATATGACTGCAGATAGAATGAAAGAAAATATTTATAAATCACATATTTGATAAGAATCTAGTATCTATAATATACAAAGAGTTCTTACAACTTCACAGCAAAAAGAAAAGTAACCCAATTTTAACATGGGCAAAGGACTTGAAAAGACATTTCTCCTTTGAAAACATACAAGCAATCAATAAACACATGAAAAGATACTCAACATCTGCACTCATTAAGGAAATATAAATCAAACCCACAATGAGTTATATTTAATGCTCAATAGGATGCCTTCTTAAAACACACACAGACACACACAGAGAGAAAATAAGGAGGATGTGGAGGTGTTGGAATTCTTGTACATTGCTGGTAGGAATATCTAATGGTGCAGTTGCTGTGGATAACAGTTTGGCAGTTCCACAAAAGGTTAAGTAGTATAACCTAGCAATTCCACTCCTAGGCATATACCCCAAAGAATTGAAAACAAGTATTCAAAACAAATACTTGTATACAAATGTTCACAGCACTATTCACAAAAGCCAAAATGTGGAAACAACGCAAATGTTCATTACCATATGACCAGATAAACAATGGACTATTATTCAACCATGAAAAGGAGTGAAGTACTGACACATGCTGCAACATGGATGAACCTCAAAAGCATTATGCTAAGTGAAAGACAGACACAAAGGACAACATATTGTATGACCTCACTTATCACCAAGTGTCCAGAATAGGTAAATCCACAAAGACGACAAGAGGTTAGCGGTTGCTAGGGTCTGGGAACAGGGAGAGTCTAGGAACAGGGAGGGTCTAGTGAATGTGCTTATTGGGTATGGGGGTCTCCTATGGAGATGATGAAAATATTTTGGAACTGGATAAATGGTGATGCTGCACAACATTGTGAGTGTACTAATACCACGTTAGTGGATTATAAAATTTATAATTGTTGATCTTGTGTGAATTGCACCTCAATAAAAAGTGAATAAGCCAGGGAGGCCAAGGCAGCCCTAGCTGAAGTTGGAGCCACGTTCCTGCAGAACCCTTGCTCTAGCAGAGAAGGCCGAGCCGGTTTTGGCTTGGGTGGCGCTCGGAGCAACAGATTCACGCCCCAGCCCCGCCAATCCCAGAGCACTGGGCGGGCCCTGAGGGCCCTCTCACGCAGGTCCCCTGCCCGCTGTGAGTCACCTTCTGCTGGCTTCGCCACCTATTGGCTGTAACACTTTGTGCAAAATACCCAAAACCTTACCGGACTCGGATTCCGGGGCCGGGTAAGTAAGGGAACTCTCGATCTGAGGTCTCCCCTGGAGTTTCCATTTATCAATTTTTAACCCCATTTCATTAACCTAAATTTGCCGCTTTGGCGATTTCGTCATCCGAAATCCGGATTTTTTATTGATCTATGGTGTCATGGCAACCCACTCCAGTATTCGGTGCCAGGAAAAATGCTACGGACAGAGGAGTTCATGGGGTGGCCAAGGGTCCGACACGACTGAAGGGCCTGAGCGGTGCACACACACGTACACACACACTATTAACTGCAGCGGTGCGTGAAACAATGGTGAATGTCGGAAACAATGCTGTATCTACGATTCAATGAAATAGGCCTTAAAATTTCTAGTTATGTCTTGTGTGCTTATTATCTGATGTCTGTCTCGCCTCCCTTCCCATCTATACGCCTGGCAAGGTGCCATAATAGGTGCTTAATAAATGTTGGCTGAACTGAAAGAACATATTTGTTTTTTTTTTTTTTTATCCTTGGCTCCACCCCTCACAGGCAGTTTGACACAAGTGGAGTCATGTAATCCATTTAAGCTTCGTTTTCCTAGTTCACTAAATGGCCGTAATAAACCCAGAGCCTGGCGAGTGCGAGGTTTGAAAGAGGAAGTGTCCTTTTTAGACGTATTCCCAGCTCACGAGTACTCCCACCATAAAACTCCAACCCGATAAAAAGACAAGAACGGTGTCAGTTTTTTTTTTAAGAAAACTTTTATAGCAAAATGTATATGAGAAATTTAAGGGAAGGGAAAGGAAAATCGAAGCCGTTCCAATTTTTTTTTTTTTAAAAAAAGCTTTATTTGATGCATGTCTGCTAAGTCGCTTCAGTCTTGTCCGACTCTTTGCGACCCCATGGACCGTAGCCCGCGAGACTACTCAGTCCATGGGGATTCTCTAGGCAAGCAAGGATACTGGAGTGGACTGCAATGCCCTCTTCCAGGGGATCTTCCCAACCGAGGGAACTGGCATTAAGACAGCTGGGAAGAATTGGGGGTGGGTGATTTCTTTCTCTTATTCCAATGATTTCAATGATTCTTTAGGTCCGAGCTGTCTGTAGATGGCAGAGAGAGAGAGAAAAGACGTTAGAAAACGGAAGTCAAAGACTGTAACACCTCCCTCCTCCTCTCTGCCCCCACTCCCCACCCCCGGCAATGCTGACGCCGTATCCAACCCTCAGTACAGGGTCTGTCTAGGGCGTTTGGACGGGCCCAGCCGCCGCGGCACTCACTAGCCTCCGAATTTCGCAGCGCGTCCGCTGCCAGGCTGGGCTGCTCCCGCTCCCGACGCGCCCCACGAGGGCAGGGAGACAGCGGTGGAACAGCCCGCGGGGTTGAGAGAACAAAGAGGGTCTATTACCAGTGCCAAGTTGTTTACCACACATAACTCCAGGCGCCTGGAGGCGAAAGTGTCGCCGCCTTGCCCTTCGAACGTCCCCAGGTATCTCTTGCATCTAACTCAGAGCGATTCGGCCAACTGGCATAACCAGAGAGGTCAGGGGTTCTCGGGCTCAGGGGTGCTCGGGCTCAGGGGTGCTCCGCAGTATGAGAAACTTCGGTTCCAGTCCCTTTGTCTTTTTTTCCCAGACACCCCTTTCCCTAAGCGGCTAATCGCTTCCTAAAGTTTCTAGAATAAAATCTGTGTGTGTGTTGCTTCGTTTTCCTAGTTCACTAAATGGCCGTAATAAACCCAGAGCCTGGCGAGTGCGAGGTTTGAAAGAGGAAGTGTCCTTTTTAGACGTATTCCCAGCTCACGAGTACTCCCACCATAAAACTCCAACCCGATAAAAAGACAAGAACGGTGTCAGTTTTTTTTTAAAGAAAACTTTTATAGCAAAATGTATATGAGAAATTTAAGGGAAGGGAAAGGAAAATCGAAGCCGTTCCAATTTTTTTTTTTTTAAAAAAGCTTTATTTGATGCATGTCTGCTAAGTCGCTTCAGTCTTGTCCGACTCTTTGCGACCCCATGGACCGTAGCCCGCGAGACTACTCAGTCCATGGGGATTCTCTAGGCAAGCAAGGATACTGGAGTGGACTGCAATGCCCTCTTCCAGGGGATCTTCCCAACCGAGGGAACTGGCATTAAGACAGCTGGGAAGAATTGGGGGTGGGTGATTTCTTTCTCTTATTCCAATGATTTCAATGATTCTTTAGGTCCGAGCTGTCTGTAGATGGCAGAGAGAGAGAGAGAGAAAAGACGTTAGAAAACGGAAGTCAAAGACTGTAACACCTCCCTCCTCCTCTCTGCCCCCACTCCCCACCCCCGGCAATGCTGACGCCGTATCCAACCCTCAGTACAGGGTCTGTCTAGGGCGTTTGGACGGGCCCAGCCGCCGCGGCACTCACTAGCCTCCGAATTTCGCAGCGCGTCCGCTGCCAGGCTGGGCTGCTCCGGGCTCCCCAGCCGCTCCCGACGCGCCCCACGAAGGCAGGGAGACAGCGGTGGAACAGCGCGCGGGGTTGAGAGAACAAAGAGGGTCTATTACCAGTGCCAAGTTGTTTACCACACATAACTCCAGGCCACTGGAGGCCTTGCCCTTCGAACGTCCCCAGGTATCTCTTGCATCTAACTCAGAGCGATTCGGCCAACTGGCATAACCAGAGAGGTCAGGGGTTCTCGGGCTCAGGGGCGCTCGGGCTCAGGGGTGCTCCGCAGTATGAGAAACTTCGGTTCCAGTCCCTTTGTCTTTTTTTCCCAGACACCCCTTTCCCTAAGCGGCTAATCGCTTCCTAACGTTTCTAGAATAAAATCTGTGTGTGTGTTTTAATATTTATTTGGTGCCCAGGGTCTTAGCTGTGACGTGTGGGATCTTTCATCTTCACTGTGGCATGCGAACTCAGTTGTGGCATATGGAATATAGTTCCCTGAGCAGGGATGGATCAAACTCGGGTGTCTTGCATTAGGAGTAAGGAGTCTCAGCCAATGGAAGACCAGGTTGATCTAATAACCTTTTTTGGACTTACTGGGCCACTACCTTATCTGGTCTCTACCCTTCTCTTTGATCTCTGCGTGCTTTCCCCACCTGGCCTTTCCATCTTAACCTGCCATGTTCTTTTTGGAGTAAGTCTTTGCACTTGAGAGTTTCTCTGCCTCCAGTGCCTAATCTCTTCTCATAAATCTGGTTCTCTGACCACTCTTAAGATTGCCTCGCCTCCTATTCACACTTCACTCTTATCCACTACATGGGTTTTACAAACTCACTGTTCGAAATACCCTGTTATGTTGCTTAAAAGTCTAGTTCCCCGGAATATAAGCTCAATGAGGGCAAGACTCTTGTTCATTTCTGTGTCCGACCTAGAATGGGGCTCATCACACACTAGGAACTTCGAAAAAGAAAAGAAAGAAGGCTGGGAAGAAGGGGTCGTGGAAGGGAGAGAGGAAGGAAGGATCATTCGTACTTGGGTTAAATATCTTAGGTTTGATTATTCATTTGCCTGTGGCCCAATTTCATCGCCTAAACCCTTCTCCTCTTCAGCTCCTCCCAGTTCTTGCTCCGCCCAACAGCCCTCTGATTGGCTCCTGATCCTATGCCTTCCCTGGACTCCCCTGGTGGCTCAGACTGTAAAGCGTCTGCCTACAATGCTGGAGACCCGGGTTCAATCCTCCAGATCTCCTGGAGAAGGAAATGGCAATCCACTTCGTGTTCTTGCTTGGGATGGAAATCCCATGAATGGAGGAGCCTGGTAGGCTTGGAAATCCCATGAACAGAGGAGCCTGGTAGGCTACAGTCCATGGGGTCGCAAAGAGTCAGACAAGACTGAGCGACTTCACTTTCTTTTCACTTTCCTATGCCACCGCCTTCCGCAAGCTTCAATTCCAGGAGAGAGAGGGTGGCAGGCTAAAGATGTGCGTGCCTCTCATACCCAAGGCGCAGCGCTCAAGACATCTCCCCCAAATCCAGAGCTAGCCTCTCCACTCCGTCCTCCTAAGCTCCCCTAGTGCATGAGGAGCCTAGTACCCCAGTTCTGAGCCAAAACAGGATAGGTTTCAGTCTCTTTGAAGTTACGGTTTACCTTAAATTTTCGTGTAATTTCGTATTGGTATATGCTTTTTAGATAGATAAAACAATTCTGTCTTCAGAAAACTAAGAGTAAAGTTGATATATTAGGCAGGTAGGAATGAGGCGGGGGAAAGGGGGCCAAGGGAAAAGAAGTTCTTGTGGTTGTAGAAAAAGGCAAGGAGGACCACATTCCCATCATAACAGAATGCTCAAGGGAGGGAAAAGCTTAAGAGAGTGTTTCTCATAGACTGCAGCAAATCCCAGTGTGCAGACTGCGAGAGTTGGGGAGGTCTCCGCTCCAGTTGCCCTGAGAACCCATTGGGGGAGCTCCGGAAAACTCCACCGCATTTGGCAACAGTCGGGAATGACAGGTCTCTGTCAGATGATGCCAGGCGAAGCTGACTTTGGAAATCCCAGGGTGGTTCAGCGATCTTGGTAAACTAACGGGAAAACTGAGAGCCACTGAATGGATGCGGCTGCAGCTCATGTGCAGGAAGAGGGGCCACTAGACCTGTAGCCTCCGGAGTGTTCAGTTCTACTCAATCTAGTCTAGTTGTGCAGTGAGTGTTTAGGGGAAGGGCGGCACGGTTTCTGCGTTGGGCGACGGGCTTTATCGTGCAGAAATCCATCTTGAGATATCCCCGTCCGCAACCCTAACGTGGTGGCGCGATCAGAGACTGGGGTTGTCCCACGGGTTGGCAGGGTGAGCTAACACCAAATAGCCTACTATCCTGAGTCCAACTTTCTCTTCTGAAAAGTGAATACTCTGGGATGCGGAAGTTCTCTGAGTTCAAACTCGTGGATCCACCACCTCACCTGCCGGACCTTCCGCGGGGTCTGCGCGGGCCTGACTACCGCCTTCCGTGCCCTCTGCGGCCGCGCGCAGGTACCCGGCGATGTCGCGGTGGCCTCGCTCTTCAGCCAGGTCCACGGGCAGGCGGCCCCACGCATCGCGCACATCCAGCCGCGCCCCGGCTCGGTGCAGGGCCACCAGCGTGTCCAGGAAGCCCTCCCTGGCGGCGTCGTGCACCGGTCGGGTGAGCGTGGCGGGGTCCGCGCAGTTGGGGTCCGCGCCGTGGAGCAGCAGCAGCTCGGCTACTCGGGCGCTGCCCATCATCATCACCTGCCGGAGAGAGCAGAGTGGTCAGGACAGGTGGGATCAGGGGCAGGATTAAAGAAACTACTTGTACAACCCCTACTTCCTGCAGATGCGCTTACAATCCACAACTGTGTAGTTACTACTTTTTTTTCAGTTACCGACTTCCTTAGCCAGTTCTCCTACCTATTCCTTTTTTTTTTCTGTACACACTGTTATATTCTTCAACATTTTGCGGGGTTCCAGCCACGAACAGAACACTATCAAGAGTCATCAGTTCAGTTCAGTTCAGTCGCTCAGTCGTGTCCGACTCTTTGGGACCCCATGAACCTCAGCACGCCAGGCCTCCCTGTCCATCACCAACTCCCGGAGTTTACTCAAACTCATGTCCATCGAGCCGGTGATGCCATCCAGCCATCTCATCCTCTGTCGTCCCCTTCTCCTCCTGCCCCCAATCCCTCCCAGCATCAGGGTCTTTTCCAATGACTCAACTCTTCGCATGAGGTGGCCAGAGTCATAGATAACAGCAAAAGGGTGAGGAACAAACTGACTTCTACTACAGCCTAACCTCCTGTATTTTCTTATTTTGATATGAAATTATGCCAGGCCCAGAGACTTTGTATGGTTCACTGCTTTATGTCCAAGCCCAGAACGTGGTAATAGCAAAAATGAAAAAACAAACACAAAAACTTATTTCTTGTAAAACTTTAAGCTACCCTTGATTTCCCTGAACGTTAAACTTCAATTTCTTGAAGAATAAAATGAAAAAATTTGTCTAACCAGTCCTAAAATTCCTTCTTCTTGTAAGCTAAATAATGTCCCCCAAAGATGTCCACTTCCTGATACTCAAAAGCTGTTAACATATCACCTTTTATGAAAAAAGGGACTTTGCAGATGTGATTAAATTAAGGATTTTGAGGGCAATCACCATGTATTGTCAGGGTGGGCACAATTTAATTACAAGTTTCCTTATAAAAAGATCACAGTCAGAGAGAAGATATAAGAATGGAAGCGGAGGTTAGAGAGAAAATGCCAGGGCCAACAGCCAAGGAATGTTGACTGTCACTAAATGTTGGGAGAGGCAAGGAAATGGATTCTTCCTTAGAGCTCCCAAAGGGAATGCAACCCTGTGGACCCATTTTAGAATTCTGATTTACAGAACCATAAGATAATAAATTTATGTTGATACTAAATTTGTAGTAATTTGTTATAGCAGAAATAGGAAGGCACTTTCCAAGATCACACTCTGAGACTTCATTAAAGAGGAACCTCATTTGGTTCCTAAATAATCATTGATGATACAAGACCATTACCAAAGGGGAATTTTGAAATACTGTTCACAATCACAGCAACTTTACAATTTGAGTGTTATATGGTGGATGGCGGTGATAGACCATACTTTTTAGGGTAACCATTATTTGGTTACATTAGCTACACCATATTGAGGAATTATTTATTTTCAGTTGAATTATGTATTAAACTCGAATTAATTTGTCAAAACCAAGGTATCTTAACAAGTTATACTATGCTTGTTGAGTTCAGTCCTGGAGAAAGTGAAACTGATTTAATTTTCATAAAAACACAGAGAAAATTTAAGTGAACCAACTTGCAGCTACAAAAAGAAAGAAAAACTAATAGTACATTAGAAGAAAGAATTGTTTTAAAAAACGGGAAATTTACACTATTAGATTTCTAATGGATTATGAATTAATTTCCAAAACAAAGGGGCCACACCCAAGGATACCATAATCTTTTGGAAGCTCTACTACAAGTGCCAGAGCTCATAGTATGTCTACTTCCATGCTTGTATATAACACAGGTGAAAATATATTAGATGAGTTGGATAAATGAAGTCCTTGGTCTTAATCATAAAATTGGTTAAAGGTTTTATTATATGCTACAGTATTAAAGTGTGAAAAGTAACATAATATTTAAATATTTAAATCATAGTAGCAATCCAAAGCAAAAAGAAAATTAATCATTCAAATGAATATTTCTAGGGTACTTAAGTCAAATTGAAGATATAAATTTAATTTAGTAATTAAAATTTTTCTATAAGCTAAGTATTTTTAAACACAAATTTGGTTAGGGTTCAAAACTAAAATCATATCCCTTTTGTCGATGCCCTTATCCTATTTAAAAATAATTTAAAATTAATTATCTAATTTTCTTTTTGTATTTAAACAATAAGGTCTACTATAACATCTTCCAGAACTAGAAGGCTGTAATGCCCAGTCTGCAAACTGCTGGCAAAACTTTTGAGATATCAAATTATGAATCATGCATACATTTTTTAAAAAAGAACTCATGCTTCTCTTCTACAACCATTCAACCTTTTTATCTCCAAATTTCTCTACATTTCAAAACCCAAATAATTTCAAATTTGAGGATATTTTATTTTTATTTTTGTATCTAAAAGTATATAAAATATATCTCTTCTATGTAGCATAGTTTGAGGAAAGGAGGATTCACTTGTGAAACTTATGAAGTTCCAAGTTGAGTTACTTTTCCTTTGTCTTTTTATGCTGGAGTTTTTGCAGTGTGCATTTCATATAAATTTTATTTTTCAGGATCAGAAATCACTGTCGAAACCTGGAGTAAAACTGGAGTGACGGCCAGGAAGAATTCATTTTTAGCCTCAGATTCAGGAAGTTACTGAAGGCAAAAACAAAAAACAACAGAAAAACGAACTCACAACGCATCCTCACACATACAAAACTGCAGTGGGGAGAGGAGAAATGACATTTTTAAACTATGAGGAACTGAAAACTCCCCAATAAATTAATCTATACCAAGTAAGTTTAAAATATCCCAAAAGGTAAGAGACACTCAAGTGGTAACTAAATTGGCAGCATTATTTCAGGCATAATTGCACTAATTTTTTCCCCCATATATGTCTATTTCCTAAACAATCATATATGTTCCTTACTCGGTTAAAAAAAATAATAAACACGATATGTAGTTGCTTCTGAATAATTTCAATCGACCTTTATTCCAACTTACACAGCAGTAGATTTCCACTGAAATCTCCCTTCCCACACCGCCCCCCCCCCCCCCC